TCAAAATCTTCAGCATTTTCACCACTTTAGAATTTTCAGAATCTTCCGCGTTCTTACACACACGGATAGAGGGGGGTGTACTTCATAATTTTCAGCATCTTCACCACTTCAGAATCTTCAAAATCTTCAGCGTTTCTCTACATTTTGAAAGACAGGGAGAACACTGAAGATTCCAAAAATTCGGAAGTGGTGAAAAAGTCGAAGATTGTGAACACCGTCCCCTTAAAGAAACAAAACAGGCGGAGGCACTTGGGGGGGGGGGGGGGGGGTTCAAAATCTTCAGCATTTTCACCACTTCAGAATTTTCAGAATCTTCAGCGTTCCTACACACTCGGACAAGGGGAGTGTACATGGAGTGCGTTCAACGTTCATATACACTCGGACATAAACACTCAAAACATGGGAGATGTACTTTCAACATTTTGAAGACTCAGACAGGGGTGGTACAAACCTACAGACATGGGGTCGGTTCAGTGTCTTCAACGGATTGACCACTTCAGAATGTTCAAAAACTTCAGTATTTTTACAAGCTTAGAGAGGACGGGGGGGAGGGGGGGTCAGAATCTTCAACCTTTTCACCACTTCAGAACTTTCAGAATCTTTAGCATTCCTACATACTCGGACAGAAGGGTGTGTAGTTCAAAGTTTTTAACATCTTCACCACTTCAGAATCTTCAAAATCTCCAACATTTCTACGACCTCATACAAGATTCTGAAAATTTTGAAGTGCTGAAAACGTTGAAGATTTTGAACACCACCCCCTCTCTCACAGGAGGAGGCACGGGGGGGGGTTCAGAATCTTCAGCGTTTTCACCACTTCAAAATTTTTAAAATTTTCATCGTTCTACACACTCGGATAGAGAGGGTGTACTTCAAAATTTTCATCATTCTCACCACTTCAGAATCTTCAGAATCTTCAGCATTTCTATACACTTATATAGAGAGGTAGACGTTGAAGAATCTGAAAATTCTGAAAATTCTGAAGCGGTGAAAACGCATGGTAACCGTCCGGACGTCTGGACCGGGTTCCAAACAGTCCGGTGTCCGGTGTCCGATGTCTAGTCCTAATGTCCGGATGGAGGCCCCTGGGGAGAAATTTAAAAAAAACGGGGTGATTTTTCAGTGTCATTTCACCCCACCGGACAGGGCCAAGACACTGCAGGTTTCTGGGGTGGCGGGTTTCACACAGGCCCGAGCAATTTCAAGGCGCCTGCCGCTGCTGCCCGTTGGAGAGAGAGAGAGAG